GAGAGAGCTTTTTAAAATGTTAACGTCCCAGAGATATATATTTCCAAAACTAATTGATATATCTGAATGAAATTTTCTAGATGGTTTGTCATGTTCCAAGGAAGAAATTATTAAATTTTGGTGGCGTTCTGGAGGAGAGAAACGTCCTTGACCAGATATCTCAAAAACTGATCTGTAAGCAAAAAGTCCTGGGTTTGAATCCCGGTAGAAATTCTGTTTTCGTTATTGGGTTTTTTTTTAAGAAAAAGATACCTGGGAATTTAATACAAGGAGATTTATGATGTCCGCGGAGGTATACACTCCTCAAGTGTGTTCTAGTTACTAATATTACTGATATACATAATGTCAGATGTGTTATGGACTCATGATTGATTTTTTATGTATTTTAAATTTTTATTTTTTTTAAATTTTTTTTTCTCTTTTGGAGTCACGCCCACATTTATTTCTTGCAAAATATTTCTACTTTCCATTTCTTAATAAACATTCACTACAGTATAATAATAATAGGCCTAATATTATTAATGATATGTGGCAATAATAATAATACCAATACAGTAGCTATGGTTATATTGTTAGGAATAACAATCGGAATAATAAAATTATATTATGCAATAATAGTGTTAATAATAATTATTATTAAATATATATAACAATCATAATAATAATTATAATTATAGTAATAACAATATTATTATAATAGTAATAATATTAGTAATAATAGCTCTTTTATTAACTGTTATTTCTCTATGAGGAAGTACTCAAGTAGTTTAATATCTCCTGTACCATCATATTTTGCCATCTAATACCCCGCATCCCAATAACTATTGAGTCCTCCCACTTCACCTTTATGCCATCATCAGCCCCTACCCTGACATTTTAAACTCCTCGATGTGCCACTGTTGGAATTTCAATCAAATTGAGTTCAGATGGTATTAAAATCCACCGAAGAAGGTAATGAAGCCTAGGATAGGTCTATTGATACTCAGTCTGCTGGTTTGGTCTCTAAGGGGAAATGATGTTGTTACAGTACAGTAGAACCCCTCATTTACGTACGGCATGGGCCCAGAGCCGTTCGTAAATTCGGGTATTCGTAAAATCGGGGTTGACCCAAATTCCTATATATTTGCACTGATACTACTTACACTACTACAGTATAATAATAATAGGCCTAATATTATTAATGATATGTGGCAATAATAATAATACCAATACAGTAGCTATGGTTATATTGTTAGGAATAACAATCGGAATAATAAAATTATATTATGCAATAATAGTGTTAATAATAATTATTATTAAATATATATAACAATCATAATAATAATTATAATTATAGTAATAACAATATTATTATAATAGTAATAATATTAGTAATAATAGCTCTTTTATTAACTGTTATTTCTCTATGAGGAAGTACTCAAGTAGTTTAATATCTCCTGTACCATCATATTTTGCCATCTAATACCCCGCATCCCAATAACTATTGAGTCCTCCCACTTCACCTTTATGCCATCATCAGCCCCTACCCTGACATTTTAAACTCCTAGATGTGCCACTGTTGGAATTTCAATCAAATTGAGTTCAGATGGTATTAAAATCCACCGAAGAAGGTAATGAAGCCTAGGATAGGTCTATTGATACTCAGTCTGCTGGTTTGGTCCCTAAAGGGGAAATGATGTTGTTACAGTATTACATTACAGAAATGCATTTTACAAACTTGAGAAGTCTGCTAAGGGTATGTTCACACACACGGTGTAAGGCTGGTGTAAGCCTAGCGTAGTGTACGCCTTTGTGTGTGAACTAGGCAGTGGCGTTACTTATGCCACTCACAAGGCCACCTGCGTGGCGTTATTAACACTACCTGCAGACCCTAGATTAGCTAACACCACGGGCTAACGCCAGTGATGCTTGAATGATTTGACCTCATTTCACCAATCACGATATTACTTTGATCTCTTTCCTGTGTTCTCTATAAATGAAATGGTAAAGGGGTTCTTTTTCTATTGCATTTTACTTAGTTTACAATGTATATGATTTGTTGATTATGTTTTGTAAGAAAAAGACTGTCTATTTAAACCTGCAACATCAACAATTGTTCCACAATGCTAACTGAAAAATCAGAAGTAAAATTGTTCATTTAAAATACAATAATCTTATATGTTCACTTCGAACAATTCACAGATTTAGAAGTCTTAATGATGCACTGTAAATATTTTACTACAGTTCATTATTTAAAACTGAAAACTATTCCCCCATAGGCCTATACTACTACTAGCGTTAATATAGCAAACACGGTTTGTGTGAACACTTAGGAATTTTAATCCGTGGATTAGCTTACGCCAGTCTTACACCGTATGTGTAAACATATCCTAATATTCCATGTTTGGTTATATTTCATTGCAGAGTTTATAGAAACTATATATTAAGGGAACAACAACCTTGAGACATAAACAACAGGAAGTGCTCCAACCTGGTGTGCTGTACTTTTCAAAACACAAATCATCACAGAGGATCTTGTCTTAGACAAAAGAATTAAATGGCGAACACTTTTCACCAATCTCAAAAAGGCATGAATACGAGATATGGAGTATCGTGCGCTAATGGCGAACTGAAATACAAACTTATACACGAAAGTATTGTACAACTCTGCGTTATAAACCATGCTAGTAATGTGATCAACAAGATAATGAATCTGAAGTTATTGAGAAAGATTGAGACACATCATTTGGTTCTCAGTGAAAGCACGATTTATTCTAGAACGGTAAGTACTCATTGAATCCTTACGATGTTAAACCTTAACTATAGAAGTTTGGCATATTTCTTGCCTAGCTTCCTGGAATTAGACTGGGAAGGCCTACATTCATTGGAGATAATTGTTGAGTACCTTTGAAAGAACCTACTGTATGGAATACCAGACTATAACTTATGAGTTAACAAATGAGCATTTAAGCCTTCCAGAAAATATGTAGCATCAATGCCAAGTTAGACCAATTTGCAGACGGGAGGTTTTGTTTCAAAAACCCCTCCCCCGGGGGTCGTGGGCATGCCGACTTTATATAGTAAAAGAGATTTTTGAATATTTAACAACACTTTTCAAAATTTATTTCGAGAAGGTTACTTAAAATAGAAAGCCAAAAACACCTCAACCAGTGTGTGTTGCACCACCATTTATTTGTGTGCGAATGTGTAACGACAAAACCATTCTTTTAAGCACTGTAATGATAGATATTTAGCTGCATGAGACCAACAAAGTATACACATATTTTTTATTATAGGCAATTAATATTACATTTATGCGTGAGATTTTGGTCCTCAAGCATGAGAGCGTGAGACATACTGCAAATGCGGGATTCTCACGCCGAATGTGTGAACCTTTGAAGTATAATTATGTAGGCCTATAATTAATTTCACTTTATTGACAAAAACATTAAAAGTGGTCACAACTTGTGCCTAACAATTCTCATAAAAAAAATTTGAATAATTTAAGCTAGCAATATATAAAAAACACTGACAATAAACACGTACTGTAAATAACAATATAGACTAGATATAAAAATCTAATGTGAACCTAGGTTAAAGGTCATGTCATCAAATACATTATGGCTAAAATTTCTTTTTGACTGAAAATCCTATGTAAACTCAACACAAAATTCCTAAATTGACATTTAATAAATTTTGTGGAACTAATGGTAAATATGCTACAGTAGTCTACTCCATTCTGTGCACAATAAACATTTGTTTGGAAGTTTGTCGAACTTGGACCAAGTGTACAGCTATGGTGATTGCAGCTTAATGCATTATGTGATGATAGCAATGTGACAGCACATCACGCAATGGTTCATTTTTAATGATCATCCAGTGGCTCTGCCACCAACGGTCAGCAGACCGGCGTCCAATTGGGCAAGTGTTTGGTGAATCGGCAGCTTGCATTATAATTAAATATTAAATTTTTAAAATTGTTCATTATGTTTTGTTTATATTCACGAGATGTTTTTGAGAAGCTGAATTTTTTCAACTTTGCCATGTTGGTTCGCTGATAACCTACAGTATAGGCGTATTCGACTGGTCCTTTTCCAAGGAGCTCGGAGTGTGCTCGTTAAGCTCGTTAAAAACAGCGAGGAGTTTGAGCTGCTCTTGTGAGGAGTTCGTGCCGCTTGTGCGACCAGTCGAATACGACATGTGCAGTTAGAGTAGAAAGAGTTGCTCAAAACAGACCAGTCGAATACGCCTCATGGGATCAATTGAAACAGGGCTAGAAAAAGTGTATTTTTTGGGGGAAAAATTCAAAAAAATAAACTGTTTGGCTACTGTATATAGTCTACAGATAACATTTGAAAATATCTTTATTATATGCTCTACATATTTGTCAAAAATATTATTGTTCTTAGAAAATATTTCTCTTTTCATACAGTAAGTACTTTTCATTGTTAATTTTCAATATTTTTAAACATGGTATTTTTAATGCCAAATAAAGAAATCAGCAATATTTTATATAAATAAAAACCCAGATAGGAACTCTTTTCTGCTGTCAGCAACTATAGAATTTAATAAGAGTAAACTAAGATAATGTATGTTGGTAGTAGAATTCATGTAGTTAGAATTGTGTTTTGTGTTACCGTATGTGCTTTCTAATATTTTTATATTTATTTTTATACTGGAGTAGATTTGCAATAATGAAGGAAAATTTCATAATTATACCTTGTATTTTTATGACAATAAAAGATCTGTGTCTGTATCTAATATACAATTTAATTCTAAGGAACTAGTCTATAACTGATTTTTACTTTCACTATACTATACAGTTCTGGAGAGTTTTGCTTTTAATGAAAGCCTACAGATAAAAACTACCATAGTTCATTCATAGCACATTAAAATTTTCAGAGGTTTCCTCCCCAAGGTTGAAGCTAGACTACATCTCATATTACCGTATATGATTATGATATTTAAGAACATTACTGTATTTTATTATAGTACTGTATTATTACATTTGGGCCTTGAGATTGAGATCATGTACCGTAATAATTGTTTTATTTGCATGGAATTTAACTAAAATCTAATGCTTGTAAAAGGTTGTGAGTGAAGTGCACAAAACACTTCATTAGAAAAAAATAAATATTAAATTTCTATTTATCATCAATTTCGAGGCAATGCCATTGAAACTGAAATACTTGTGACTGTAACAGTTTTTTACAGTAAAGAGATTTTTAGTACCAGTAATAATTCTGTCCTTTTTTTTCCTCACATTTGACATGGCTATGTGAACTAAAATGTCTTATTGCTGATTCTTATTTATATTTCCTGTTTATGAGGTATTACATTTGATACCAGTATTGAATTTGGCTCCAACTGTAGGCTTAGTGTGTATCGAGCAGCCAGTCATTTTATGAATATTGCCTGGCTTTCAATTCTGTTTGACGTCACTGGCACCAGTCATAATCAGCGTTGCTTAGCAACAGCAGTCACATGGCATGGAAGACACTGAAAAGGTGTTCATTAGAAGAAAAGTTATTCATTGTATTGCACAACAAAGCATATGTAGTAAATCATACATAGAAATTTAATTGTAGACTTGCTTGATGTGGAGAACAGAGTTTGAAAACTAACATACAATGTTCTAACCGAAACCCCACAGTGATAAAGAGACTCGGCATAATGTAGCATTTTAGATTTAGATTCATCTTTATTCATCATATATCAAATTATAAAATTATTTCCTGTGTTTTTACTATACAATAAAAAGTATTCAAAAATACTATTTATACACAATATCAATTTTATTTTTCCATAGACAGTCTTATCCAACAATTCATTTTTATATCAAATAGTACCAGGAAGAAATAAGAGATTGAGATAAGATTTATTTAACCACACAAATGGCAGCAAAAAATACAGTATAAAAATTAAAAAAAGAAACAGTTAAAGTTTAGTATTCCATTTATTATTATTATCATTATTTTATTTTATTTTCCATTAAGATTCGAAATTAATACTACCACAAAGCCTAAAATATTTTGCACGCAACATTTGGCCAGAATAAAAATATGTCTGATTATTAACACAGAAAAATCTTAATACAGCAGCTATTGAGAACATGAGTGGGAGGGGGTTGCACTGTTGTATTTTAATGTTTTATTTATGGAGATACGGTATGTTGTACATTGCCTAATTGCCATGTTGGCAATAATACGTGTTTTAGCTTCCTGTTCCTCTAGTTAATACAGGGTAAACATTAATCAGATAATCAGTAAAGTATAGATTATTAACAATACAAAGAGAAGGGTGGAATTGGATTTTTTTGTATCATAAAGCTGATGTTTTTAACTATACCTTGTTTAATGTTACATCAATAACGTTAAGAATTGCACAAAATGAAAACAAGGATAAAAATTAATCAAGACAATATCAATACGTCGCTATTAAGTCATAGTAACTACTGTAGTTGATTAAATTAAAGAATTGATTTTGAACCTAGCCTAATTGAAGATTCTGTTTCTTGTCCCCAGATACTTTGCAGGATCAAATTTCAGTTAGGAAACAAGGTTCAATTAATCGGAACGACCTAATTATAATGCTCTAATTAACACTAAATTAATACTAATTGAGTTTTGCCACACGCTTCCATAAGAGCGTGTGGCACAGCGTGTAAGGTGTTGGACTTCTGATCATGATATCAGGAGTTGAGACCGACGCTCGTTCCATTACTTGTGTCCTTCGGCAAGGCACTTTACTTGCGTTTGCCTCTCTCCATTCAGGAGTGTAAATGGCCACCTGGTGGGATGGTGTGGCATTGAGCGTATGTGGTTGTGCGTGTAAAGCAGCATTACTAGGGATACTCCCTAGGAAGAAGAGAAAGTTGCACAAAAATGTACTGGTTTACCAACTAAGAATCCAGTGACCAGGGAAATACTGATGCCAGCACCTTCGTATATTCTGTGGAATGTGAAAGGTGCCATATAAAATTCAGATTCTAAAAAAAAAAAAAAAAAAACTGAGTTCTGTATAAGACCCAATCCTTTATCAATACAAATAATGAGGGAACTCAGCACATTAGACTAAAGCAGTCTACACTATCAAATTTCATGTGTCAAATTTATGTGATGTGCCCATATACGAGTATGATGTTGTCATCATTACATCCAAATATGGGCATATCACATCTTTTTGTCAAATAAAATGTGATAGTGTGGACAGATTTATTATATTTATTTATTTATTTATTCATTTATTTTTGTTCTTCATAGTTTCCTGAAGAAGTCCACAATGATGTAAAAAGCTAGAATTAATAATTTTAAAGTTTGTCTCTGTGTGACTGACTTTTCGTTATGTTTATGTTGTTTGAATTTAGATGCTGCTACACCTTTCATATTCTATATTAATTAGCAATTCAAAATTGTGCTGTACCTAGACAGCATACTATGAATACTATAGAATATAAAAAATGTAATAAAAAATACAGGATATGTATAATGGTATTGGTCACTTTACATACATTCTCAAATTCTGCAAAGTATTAAAAATACTAAAAATAAAATACTAATGCAAAACAAGAATACAGCCTGAAAGAATGAAACAAAAATATCCTTAAAAAGTAGATAATTTGCAAGTAACAATAATACATTTGTTTGCTCATTGTTTATAGAATCTCAACAATCAAGATTATATTTATACAGAGTATAACCTGTTGGTGAATGTTGAAAAGAAATTGCTAAAATAAATATTAATAAAAGAAATGGCCTAATTAGAATCAGTCATATTATTTAT